GCTGGAGCAGGGTTGTGGGGGAGATAATCTTCAAGCAGACTCACTTCTGAGCACAGAACCCCACGCAGGGCTCATCCTAGGACCCTGAGATCATGCTCCGAGCCAAAATCAAGAGCCTGCCGCTTAAACAACTGAGCCACCCAGGCACCCCTCTATCCAGAGCTTCTTTAAATTTTCCCAGCAATGTTTTCTTTTTTTTTAAGATTTTAGTTATTTATTCATGACAGACACAGAGAGAGACAGAGATATAGGCAGAGGGAAAAGAAGGTTCCATGCAGAGAGCCCGATGCAGGACTTGATCCCGTGACTCCAGTATCACACCCTGAGCAGAAGGCAGAAGCCCAACTGCTGAACCACCCAGGCATACCCCAGCAATGTTTTCTCATTTTTAGTATGCAAGGTTGGTACATCTGCTTTATCTGCTTTATCCCTAAGTGTTCTACTCTTTTTAGGCTACTGTGAATGAAATAAAAATATAAAATATAAAATATTTTCTTTATTCCAATTTTTAAATTTTTGTTGCTAGTATTCTGAAGTGTTCATCTCATGAGCCGAGCATTTGTCTGGGCCAAGCCCTGGGCCAGAAGACCCCACAAGGAGGGGGTTTTATTGTCATGTCCACTTTACAGCCAGGTCAGGGAGACATGACCAGGAGAAAGTGGGCACCCGACTGGTGTTATCCAGACCCAGAGGCCCAGCAGCCATTCCCTGCTGGGTGTGTCCCCCCCTCCAGCCTCTGGGGCACCTCCTTCCACAGGATGAGTGAAGGGCGGGTTCCGGGCACTGGCAGTGACTGAGGTCCATCTCTCCTGTGGTGGCAGATGTCAGGAGGGTCTCTCTCCTGTCCAATCGCTTGGACCCCCAGAAATTCCCAGCAAGGGGAACATACCCAAGGCCCTTGCCCCAGGCTGTGCTCCTCCGTGTGACCATGACCCTGCTTCCTCCCCCCTGGGGACCAAGAGCCTTCCTTCTTCTACCTGGGCCACTGTGCTCCCCAGGCCCCCTCCACCAGGCTTCTGCCTGCATATCCACCCTCAGCTCTGCAGCCCGCCGAGCCCATGGCCAGGCCTCTCTGAGGAGTCACCTGGCTGGGGCTCTGAAGGGACAGGTGGGGTCTAAGCTGGGGGGAAGGGCAGCAGGCTCCCAGTCCCCATACTTTACCTTTTCCAAATCTGGGCACCCACCGGACTAGCAGGGAGGCAAGGGGTCCTCGCCACCTGCTGTGGCTTTTGGGGGCCCCAAAAAGAGGTGCAGAGAGCCCATTTCACCCCACCTTCCCCAGCCCACCCTCAAGCCTCCACGGCGTTAAGTGCTTTCTGAAGCCCAGCTCGAAAATGGAGAAAAGACAGAGGTGCTTGGTCATTCAGATAAAGGTTGTGAGTAGGACAAATTCCCACTCCTTGGGCCAGGCCCCACTGCTGCCTTCTCCTCAAGGAGCAGTGGCCCAGGCCAGCCCATCTCCCCACACCTCTGGAGCAGGCCTCCACCCCTACCGCCACCCCCACCCGGCAGCCCTGCAGCGTGATGTCACTGCTGGCCCCCTCCTCGAAGGCTACTGCGCCACACCAGAAGGATGGCCTCCTCTTGTATTTCATTTTATTGAACTTAGGGAGGGTTTTCTTTTTAACTTAAGAGTGACAGGATTTGACAGCAGAAACGAGCCCATTCCTCTGAGCAGACGGCGCTGACCAGCAGTTAATCACACGCGGGAAAGTGACAGTCATCATATTCAGCCCGTGGCTCTGATGCTGTAGAAGCTCTGCCGCCTGGAACACAGACTGCAAATAAATAAAGTGCATGGAGAGCCTGTCAGGCAGCCAGGGCCCAGTGCGGGAGAGGGAAGGGGTGGGGAAGAAGCGTGCCAAGTACTCAAGGCCAAACCGGTCAGAAAAGCAGTGGCAGGAACACGGGCGAAAGACGTGCATCCCCTCCCCTGACCCTTGGGGGCTGCTCTGGGACACCCTGTACCTTGGGGGAGGGGGTGGCACAGGATGGACCTTCCTGCAGGGGAGGGGCCGCGGGCCAGGGGCCCTGAGGCTCCCCCCACCCCTCTCCGCGAGTAAGAGATGTCACAGGCCCCAGGCAGCTCCACCTGAGCCACAAGGCTGCAGCTGGGGAGCAGGTCACTCGAGGGTGAGACGGGGGTCTTGAAAGGGGCACATCAGTGGATCATCCCTAAGGAGGCCCCTCATCCTCTCCTCTCAGACAGCCCCAGGTGGCTGTTGAAGGCTGTCCCCAGACATCTGTAGATGGAGTCAGCAGGCTGGCATGCTTCCCGAACTGGACCTCGGTGGAAAGGGTTGGGGTATGGGAGGCGCCACCCGGATCAGGGACCCCAGGACACTAGGCACAAGGAAGGAAGCCATCACACCCTGTGGGGAGCTGCAGGGGACACATGGTGGCTTTTTCTGGCCTCAGTCCCCGGGGTGAGGCAGGCAGAGCTCTTCAGTCAGGATCAGGCTTCCAGCTTGGCAGCTGAGGGAGGAGAGCAGGAGGTGTGACACTGGGCCACTCTGTCCCTGGGGCTGACCAGATTGCTTTGGTTTTCAGGTCCAGGAATTCAGAGCGTGGGGGCCGAGAGCAACCAGTGGCAGAGCAGCTGTGGGACAGGGGTCTTTCCTGGCTCCCCTTGGGGCCATGCCTGGCCATCCTGGTGCATCAGGTAGCAGTACACCTGGGTCCTCCGGGACCAATCCAAGCCCATCCAGAGAAGGTTCTCTGAGTGATCCTGGGCTTGGGGGCCTGAGCCTGGGGACAGAGAGACGGAGTCACACACGGGTCCCAGCCTCATCCTAGGTTTATCCCTTCACCCTCCTGGTTCCGTCATGTCCCCAGGAGCCATGCCACCACCCACCCCCACCCTGCCCCCCAAACTAAGAGGCTCCTGCAACTCAACTGCTGAGGAGCCCTTGGTCAAGCCTGGGGTGGGGTGCTGGGGAGGCCAGGCCATGTGGGTAGACTTCAGCTCTGCAAGGGGTTCTAGGACTCTCCTGAGTCCACCTCAGCTCTCGCTGTCTCCCCTGTGACCTCCCATAGCACTCCAAGAAAAGCCAATCCCCCACATTCCCTACCCTGGACCTCTCTCTCTCCCCCCTTAGGTCCCTCAGAGGGGCCCTGAGTTCCCTCCCACATCCACCCCCTACCATGCCAGGTTTTCTCAAAGTCTGGGGGCAGATCAGATTCAGCTCCACCACTTCTTATCCGTATGACAAGGACAATCTCTCCCTGTCCCAGAACTAGTTTTTCCAATCATCAGGCGGGGAGAACAGAACTCCTTCAAAGTGTTGCTAGGAGATCTAGTGCTGAGATGACAGGGTCGAGTCCTTCCCCATGCAACAACTGGACCACTGGGTACCCCACCCCTCAGTGCCTCTGCCTGAAAGGTCCTTTCTCTCCTCCTGGCCCAGGCCTTTTGCCCAGCTGCTTCCCAGGCGGCTGTGGGGCCAGGGGCACCCCGTGGGCAGGGATTGGAGTCTCTTGACAAGGCCAGAGAAGGGGCTCCTGAAAGACAGAAAGAGATGGAGATTTCACAGTGTGGCCTCCCCACGAAGAGTGGTGACGGTTTCCCCAAGTGCTGTCTCCTCCCAAGCCCCTCCTCCACCTGCTTTTGCCTCGCGAGCCTGAGAACTGCCTGCCTTCTCCTCAAGGAGATCCCCATTTCCCCGGATGCTCTGGGTGCACAGAGGCTGCTGGAGGCGGCACTCAGTAGCATCGGGAGGGCAGAGGTAGAGGCTGGGGGGGGGGGTGGCTGTGATGGCGCAAGAGAGAGACTGTGGGGGCAGGGATAGGGCGGGGCGACCTTTCCACTCTAGGTCTCCAAATGTCCAAATGCCCAGCGCCAGAGGATGCCCCTGGGGGGAGGGGAGCAGCAGGCACAGCAGAAGCAGGCCCAGAGCAGTCCCCTGGACACCAACACCGGGCAGATGCAATTCTGCCAAGCGCTGGGCGTCAGCTGCCCAGACCCCAGGGGCCTGAGGGATGAGAAGAGGCCTGACCAGTGCTCTGGCCAAGAGCACAACCAGCTTTCCTGTCTGGTCCCCCAAGGGGGCAAAGGGTGGCAGCATCTTTTCCTTCTACAGCCTTCCCTGGGGCCTCCCCCAGCTCATTCCCCTCCATTCACTGGCGTTCAGGTGGCAACGCCAGGGCCTCTGGGGAAAGCGGGGCGGGGATGGGCTGACCTCCCAGATGCCTAGGCCGCCGCTGCCCCTCACCCTCGTCTGGGAATGAGGAGGACCAGGGAGTTTGGGGTGCCTGCGGCCCCCTGCCTGGGCAGCTCCGGGGCTAGCTTCCTGGCGTCCCGTCCACAGTTCCCCCTGCCACCAAGATGTCATGGCAAGCGCCGCCGCCAGCCCATAGGGTCCAGCCTCGGGCCTCCTACCTTGAAGACTGAGGCCAGTCAAGTCCCTGCTGCAGAATTTTTCCTTGCTGCTTCCCCGCCTCTGGCCAACGTGAGGCAACAGGTCGGCGGCACTTAAATCGTTTTTTTTTTCTTTCTTTCGAGCTCGACAGAAGGGGCCCGTTTGTTGAGTTTCTGTGCAATCGGTCACCGGCCATGCTGCGGGCGGGGGGTCGCGGGCCAGGGCCGGGCAGGGCGGGCCCACGGCCGGGTGGCCGGCGTCCTCCTGCGGGGGTCTAGGGCCCCGGGGCCCGGGCCGCCCCGCCCCCTGCCCGCGCCGCGTCCCGGCGGCCGTCGTCCATGCCTGCGCCCCTGCCCGCGGCGGCCCGGCCCGCGGGACCCTCTGGCCGGGGCTGCGGCGGCGCGCGCTCACTCGATCCGCACCTGCAGGCGGACGTTGAGCATCACCGAGGCCACCACGTAGAAGTAAGGGAAGTTCATGCGCAGCCGCCAGGCCAGGTCGAAGAAGGTGATCAGAGTGCGCGTGAGCCCCTTGCAGAAGGCGCCATACGAGCCGCGGGCCGCCGCCGAGCGCGACAGCCTCACCGCCAGGCCCGACAGGGCCGCCGCGGCCGCTGCCGCCGACAGAGCCGCCGACGCCGCCATGGGCCCGGGCCGGCGCGGGCCCGCCGACCCAGTGGACGCGAGGCTTGAAGCGCCCCGGCCCTCCTTCGGTCACCCCTTCCCTGGCCTGGCCGGGAACGCAGCCTGGGCTGCTGTCGCCTCCGCCTCCGCCTCCGCCACCGCCCCTCTCCAGCAGCCTATGGGGAGCTCCGCCCACGGAGGACTCCGCCCCTCGCCGGCTGCCAGGGCAGCCTCCGCCAGCGTAACCCCGCCCCTGGCTTGGCCACGCCCCCTCAGGGCGCCACGGAGCGACGGTCCACGGGACCGCCCCGCCAGCAAGCCCCGCCTTCTCCTGGGCTCCCAAGGGCGGAGCCCGAGGGCGGGAAGGGATTGGAAGGTGGCGTTCCCCAAGGATCGCTTCTGGGGCGTGTCCTTGAGCGCGCCGGAGGGCCAGAGGGTCTAGAAAGCTATACTGATAACGTGCGGAAAGCCCACTGGGCACTTGACGGGATGAGCACTGGGTGTTATGCTCTATGTTGGCAAATCGAACTCCAATAAAAAAATATACTAAAAAAATAAATAAATAAACAAACAAACAAACAAATAAATAAATAAATAAATAAAAGGAAAGCCCACTGCGAAGGCTCCGCCTGTTTATCCTCCATTCTGCACTGCCTACACAGAAAACCCGGCCAGGCAATCCATTGTACCTTTAAATTTTTTTTTAATTTATTTATGATAGTCACACACACAGAGAGAGAGAGAGGCAGAGACATAGGCAGAGGGAGAAGCAGGCTCCATGCACCGGAGCCCGACGTGGGATTTGATCCCGGGTCTCCAGGATCGCGCCCTGGGCCAAAGGCAGGCGCCAAACCTCTGCGCCACCCAGGGATCCCTCCATTGTACCTTTAATTTGCATTTCTCTAACTCAGCACTATAGAGGTTCACCAAACTCACAGACGCATTTTTTTCTTTTTGGTATATTTGCTGGTTATGTGTTTTTCTTTTTTTTAAAGATTTTATTTATTTTTCATGAGAGATACAGAGAGGCAGAGACGTAGACAGAGGGAGAAGCAGGCTCCCCACTTGAAGCCCTAGGTGGGACTTGATCCCAGGACCCTGGACTATGCCCCAAGCCAAAGGCAGATACTCAACCACTGAGCCACCCAGGTGTCCTTATTTTTTTAATTTTAAAAAGATTCTATTTATTTGAGACAGAGAGAGAGCAAGCATAAGTGGGTGGAGAGGCGGATGAAGAAGCCTACTCCCCGCTGAGCAGGAAGCCCAACACTGGGCTCATTCCTGGGACCCTGGGATCACAGTTTGAGCTGAAGGCACATGTTTAACCAACTGAGATACCCAGGCACCCCAAAAGATGGCCTTCTGAAGTTTCTGGGGGATCAGAAGTGTGTGCTGGACTTGATCAAAATAGCTCAGTAAATCCACTGGCAACTCTACCAGTCCGCCCACACACCATCTGATTATATGTATTTCTTTATTAAATTTCCCCATTGTCCTTCTTTTACTTGTAAGGGAGAAAAATTTCCCTCTATACTCTTAGAGTCTATTTGTACATACCTCTTAAGTCTATGAAATAAATCAACAACATGCAAATTAACTGCAGAAAAGGTATGCACATTTATTAATTTTTAACATTACCTGCACGGGGACATCACAGGAAAATAAATGTAAACACCCAGAGAGGCAGTGAGATTTGAGAGCTTATATACCATCTTAATAGAGGAAGCTGAACGGAGATGTAGGCAATTTAGGGAAGTCTAAATGATTTTTGGGAAACATGAGTGAGTTCTTAGTAGAATAAATGGAAGATGTGATAGTTTGTGACAGAGTTTGCATGTGGTGTGGACTTCTCATCCGTTTACCTTTTGTCAGAATCAATTTCCCGGGGATCCCTGGGTGGCTTAGCCGTTTAGCGCCTGCCTTTGGCCCAGAGCACGATCCTGGAGTCCCGGGATCAAGTCCCATGTCAGGCTCCCAGCATGGAGCCTGCTTCTCCCTCCTGTGTCTCTGTCTTTCTCTCTCTCTCTCTCTCTCTCTCTCTCTATCATAAATAAATAAATAATCTTTAAAAAAATTAAAAAATTTAAAAAAAGAATCAATTTCTCTGGTTGATGAAATTTCTAAGGAGGGATTTTGACAATCGAGTTCCTCTTGGAGGATCTTTCTTTAGGCCCATAAGGGGATATTAATCTTAAAAATAAAATGGTCAGTTATTCAGCAGCCAAAATGTTTATTTGGGAATCAGAGCGAATTACAACTAAAGACAAGCAAGCAAGAACATAATGGTAAGCAAATCAGTAGAACAAAAGAGAGGAAGCCTCTTTTTTTTTTAAAAAGATCTTATTTATTTATTGGAGAGAGTGAGTGAGAGAGCACATCAGCAGAGGTAGAGGAAGGTGAGGGAGAAGAGGAAGAAGCAGACTCCACTACAAAGCAGGGAGCCCCAGGCAGGGTTGGATCCCAGAGCCCAGGAATCATGACCTGAGCAGAAGGCAGTTGCCCAACTGACTGAGCCACCCAGGTGCCCCAGAAAAACTCTTTTATAAAGGAAAGGAGGAGGCTGAGGTGGCTATTAGAAACGACAAGTCCATTAGAGTAAACTGGGAGTTCCAAGTATACTAACTTTTCATTGACTTGAGTTATGACTGCCTCTCATGGGCGGGGCTGTTGGGGGAGAGTGAAGGGGAAACAGCTTTTGTTTTTCCTGCCGAGGTAGTAATAACAAAGGTAGTGTCTATCTGCATGATAAGTCTCTTCTTGTTGAAGCCTGCAATTTATAAGGAGTGGTAGGACCTAAGAGCCCCCCCTTCTGGTCTCCCGACTTCACTTTAAATGAGGTTTCCTTTTACTAATTTTTACAGGGATTTCAGAGAAAGCCTCTCCCCGCATTGGCTGTTTTTCAAGTGCTTTTTGAGCTCAAATAATATACCAAAGTAGTGTATTTTGGCATGGCATGTCCTGAACTCCTTCAAACCACACAGTGATTTCTAAGCACCCCTCTTAACCCATTGTTGGTCCTGGTTACTCTATGGGATCTTCTCAGGTTTTCATTAGCCCTAGTTCATGACAGTTCTTGCTGATATGCTTAGAAACACTTTTGTGGTTTCATCTAATCTTTATTCTAAGCCAAATCCAACTCAAGCTTGATCATTTTTTAAGAACATTTAATAAATTGTAGAAATGTTCATGCTTGATTATACACATAACTTTTATTTTTTTATTTTTAATTTTTTAAAATGTTATTTATTTATTTGAGACAGAGAAAAAGAGAATGAGCCCAGGAAGGATGACTCACGGCTCAATCACTGGAGCTCCTTGATGGGATTGAGTCTTTAGCCATCATGAGATCATGACCTGAGCCAAAGGCAGATGCTTAATCGATGGAGCTACCCAGGCGCCCCAGCTTATACACATAACCTTTAAAAAGCTATCTTCAAGAAGTAGATTCACAATGATCCTGCCTCAGTTTTAACAAGGAGAGCTGGTCTGAGTATTTATATTCTCAAAATGCCTGTTCCCCACCAGACTTGAGCATCCCTGAAGCCTCTCTATAACTGTTTAAGGAACTAAACAAAGTCATATACACTGATCTGGCAATTCCTTCCTACTCAGTCAAGGAAAAAAAGGCAAAACTGAAGCATCAAAGAAACTGAAGGTGGTGGTAAGGAGGAAGACTAATCAGTGGTTCACTTCACTACCCAAACACAAATTCTATCTCTGTGAATACATCCTTCAGAAATGAAGAGGAAATAATTCAGAAATGAAGAAAAATTAAGAGAAATTTTCATCATTAGACATACCCTTACCTTACAACCCAGCAATTGCACTGCTGGGGATTTACCCCAAAGATATAGATGCGTTGAAATGTTGGGACACCTGCACCCCGATGTTTATAGCAGCAATGTCCACAATAGCCAAACTGTGGAAGGAGCCTCGGTGTCCATCGAAAGATGAATGGATAAAGAAGATGTGGTCTATGTATACAATGGAATATTACTCAGCCATTAGAAACGACAAATACCCACCATTTGCTTTGATGTGGATGGAACTGGAGGGTATTATGCTGAGTGAAATAAGTCAATCGGAAAAGGACAAACATTATATGGTCTCATGCATTTGGAGAATACAAAACTTAGTGAAAGGGAATAAAGGAAAGGAGAGAAAATGAGTGAAAATATCAGTGAGGGTGACAAACAGGAGAGACACGTAACTCCGGGAAATGAACAAGGGGTCGTGGAAGGGGAGGTGGGTGGGGGTTGGGGTGACTGGGTGATGGGCGCTGAGGGGGGCACTTGGGATGAGCACTGGGTGTTATGCTATATGTTGGCTAATTGAACCCCAATTAAAAAAAAGAAAAAAAAAAGGATACCTGCACCTTAAAAAAAAAAATCCTGGGTCTCTAGGATCATGCTCTGGGTGGAAGGCGGTGCTAAACCCATAAGCCACCTGGGCAGCTTGATCAAAAGAGGGATATGTGAAAATGATTGAAGGCAACCGTATTTAATATGGAGCAGAGAGCTCTAAAAGGAGAGCTCTCACACACCACCACTCTTAAACAGCCTTTGCAGCCCCCAACAGGAAGGAAGATTTCCTCCTGGCTCAGCAACAGCTCAGCCAATGAGAAACTACCACAACCCAGCCAATGAGAGGCCATCACAACCTTGATTCTCACTCTCTTCCAATGACTTTCCTTGAAAACCACCCATGGCAACTTCCTGTGTGCTGGATGACTTTCCTTGAAAACCACCCATGGCAACTTCCTGTGTGCTGGGACAAAAAGAAAGCTTTTCTTTGTACTCTGTATTTGCTTACAGTTCGCCATAGTTCATGTGTCCTGAATTGCAATTGGTCTCCTATTTCCTTTTTTTTTTAATTTTTTTATTTATTTATGATAGTCACAGAGAGAGAGAGAGAGAGGCAGAGACACAGGCAGAGGGAGAAGCAGGCTCCATGCACCGGAAGCCCGATGTGGGATTCGATCCCGGGTCTCCAGGATCACGCCCTGGGCCAAAGGCAGGCGCCAAACCGCTGCGCCACCCAGGGATCCCTCCTATTTCCAAATAAACTAATTTTTCTATTAAAATATTTAATATTCTTTTTTTTTTCATTTAATATTTTAAATGTGATGTCTGCGTGCTACCCAGAAGAAAAGAATATGGACGCAATCCGAACTCTGCATCATGCCACATCACCTCGCCCTCTTCAACTAATCATCCTCATTTCCAGATCGTACTTCAAAGTGGCTCTAGGCACCATAGTGAGTGCTTTGGCACAGTTGGCTCCCTTCCAAGAGCAAGACACAGGCTATGTTTTGAGACCCTTGTAGACGTGCAAGTTAGGCTTTTTCCACAGGATCTGTGGTTTCACTTAACACTGAACAGAAAGCCGTTGCTTAGAGCGGACCACCAAGTCTCCCTGAGGAGTGAGTGTAGGGGTGAGGAGGTGGAGCTGGTGGCGGGTGTGTGGCCGTGGAGGGCACTCAGAGGCAAAGGAAGAGAAAATAATTTACTCCGTGAGGGGTGGGGGCTGCACGTCTGGGGGCATGCTTCCAACCTCGGGACAAGTTGCTGTGCCACCTTCAAACAGGCATCAGGCCCCCCTTAGAAGCCCACAGAGACCACAGAGTAGAGCCCACCTCTACTCTAAGAGGTGCAAAACGAGCTTGCCCTGGAAGTTATTTCTGGTGGGTCACCGCATTTCCGCTCTTGCCTTGGTGGGAGGAGCCCATGAAGTCCCGCCCATCAGCCCTCAGCCTCTGAGTGGATGGCACTGAGCGCACTGGTTCCTCATTGGCTGGATGGTGGGCTGGGGCACGTTAAGGCCCTTCGCGTGGTAGCCTGAGCCAAAGCTCATGGAGGCACCTGACTAGACGTCCCGCGGTGCGGAGGAACCGGCGAGCGGTCTGAGGGGCTGCTGGGGTCAGAGTGCAGCTGGGTGACAGAGACGTGGACAGAAGCAGGCTTGGTGCTGTGTTTGGGACCGCAGGCTGCCCTAGCAACGGGACCATGCTTCGGTTGATTTCCAGGGCTCTTGCCGTCTTCCGGAGGAAGATAGACTCGTCAGAGGCAGAGAGGGAGCAGCATATGAGGCTCTTGGAATTGGAAGGTATTTAATTTGTCTTCTCCCTCCCACGGGCCGGCACCTAGTTCAGAACTTACGGGGCTCAGAAGGGCGCCACATAGCCATGCCAACGCCTCCTTGTGGGGAGAGGGGTCCCTGAGTCCCTGAGCATGCCCGGAATCATCCTGCCCAAAGTGACGGTGGTGTAAACAGGGAAGGCCCCTGGGGAACTATGCACCACCCTTGCATTACCTCCCCGCCCCATGCCTTTGGAACTTATATTGTGATGTATGGTATGTACAACAGATTCCTTTTCATATTTCCAGTAGTAGTGGATCTCTCTGATTTGAGGGTGCACTTGATCTCGTTTCCCAAACATGCGTATATTTGAATCCAAGTGGTCAAGTCGCTGGTAGGAGGCTGGGGGCCACAGGTTAACTTGCTCACCTTTGTATCCTGACACAGGCCAGGGTCTGGCACTGAGGGGGAGACTCAGGAGGCCCGGGACAGGCATCAGGGTGTCGGTGAGCCCCCATGAAAACTGAGAGGGTGTGCTGAGGTGGACGGTGGTCCTGTTCTGAAGTGTTCCTCTCATGAGCCGAGCATTTGTCTGGACCAGGCCCTGGGCTCAGGGCTGGAAGACCCCCACAGGGAGCACTGTCACGTACACTTTACAGGTCAGGGAGACACAACCAGGGGAGAGCGGGTACCCGGCTGGTGTTAACCCAGACCCGGAGGCCAAGCAGCCATTCCCTGCTGGGTGTGCCTCCTCCCGCCTCTGGGGGGCCTCCTTCCCCAGGATGAGTGCAGGGCGGGCTCTGGGCCCGATTCTGGAAAGGGTCACCTCTGGTGGATGCAGTCCTCCCAGCAGGGCCCCAGCCTTCCTGGTGCCCGACTGGGCCTGCAGCTCCTCTGCCGGAGGAGTGTGAGCCCTGCAGAGTTGGCGGATTCTCGGCCCAGTGGGCCAAGGAGGGCCGAGCTTGAGCGGGAAGTGATGCCGACGCATCCCTTACCCGGTAGCTGTATTTTTGCCAATGGGACGATGCAGAAGAGTTTCTGATTTATTTTCATGAGCCTAGGTGGCAGTTGTCACCCTTATACCTTCCATTTCCTTGTGTTTTGTGATTTCACTTGACAAATTTGACCCATTTTTTAAAAAGTTTAGAAGAGGCTCCTTTGGGGCTCAGTTGGTTAAGCGTCTGCCTTTGGTTTGGGTCTTGGGTCCAGGGATTGAGCACCACCTCCGGCTCCCTACTGGGGGGGGGGAGTCTGCTTCTCCCTCTCCCTCTGCTCCACCCACCCCCTCTCTTGGGTGCTCTCTCTCTCTCTCTCAAATAAATAAAATCTTTATTTTTTTAATTTTCTAAGCCCTCCCCAAATAAAATCCTTTTAAAAAAAGTTTTCAGGATCTTCTTGGCTTCTGAAATCAAATTATAAGCAATGTTTCTCCCAGCCTCACTTTGGCATGGCACCTAAGGCATTGTGGTTCATAGTGGGCTCTGCGGGCTTATTCTCTAGGTTCAGATATCAGATTATGGCTTATTAGCTGTGTTTGTTCATGAAATAAATAAATAAGTAAACCTGAGTGTTTTGGATCCACATTTGGGCTAGATTTAAACCCCCAGATCTCTTTATGTGTTTTGTTCGGTGAGATGTTTCAATAATCTCCAGGTGCTGCTGCTGCTGCTGCTTTTGTTGATGATAAAATTCTGTAACAATAATGGCTGTTTAAAGACTCTCTAGATGCAGAAACCATGACAACTAATGTGTAAGCTCTAACCTATGGGAGGCATTCAGTTTTAAGCAGTTGACATGTATGTGTCAGCTAATAATTGTAACAACCCTTTCTCCCCTGCTTTATTGAGACATAATTTGCATATAAGGTGTGCATGACAACTTGTTACCTATATATTGTGAAATGATTGCACAATAAGATTCATTAACACATCCACACCTTATATAGTTATCCTGTGTGTGTGTGTGTGTGTGTGTGTGTGTGTGTGTGTGTGGTGAGAACTTATAAGATCTACTCTCCTAGGCAGACATTAGTAATGCCCTGGTTTTCCAGATGGAAACAGATTCAGGGAGGTTAAGAAATGTGCCCAGGGTTACACAGATGGTAAAGGGAGGAGCTGTGTTCACAGTTAGGCAGTCTGGTTCCAGACTCAGCACCTACTACAAGTTCCACTACCAAGGGCACTCGGCCACTGGGCCTCGCAGAGAAGTGGTGGGATCAGTCTTTCAGCATGAGCACTCTGCCTCCCAGACAATCCCTATGCTCCTCAGTCATTGTCATCTGTGTCTCAGAGCAAGCCCAATTAGTTTCTAGATTTAGATCATCATTTCCCATATCTTCCCATGGTAGGGCTTATTTCTTGTGTGTAATTTGCTTTGGAGGTGAGTTAATGAAACATTTTGTTGACCTATCTTTTAGGTGACACCAGGTTAAAAACTGTGCAAGGAGTAGTGACACAGTTTTGTAGTGATTATGGCCTGATTGATGAGTTGATCTACTTCACCAGTGATGTTATAACTGGCAACGTGTTACTGAAAGTTGGACAAGAAGTCACCGCCATTGTGGAAGAAGATAAAACATATGGATTGAAAGCAATCAAAGTAAGATTACTATGAGTTTGAGGATCGGCTCTATTTCCCCGGGGGGGCTTTCAGCCTTGCTCCTGATTTGTTCAGCCTCTCTGACGTGACCTGGTATGGTGAATGTAGAGTGGGATTTGAAGTCCAATCCACTGCATTTTGTGAGACACTTGTTCTTTTTTTCTAATATTTTATTTATTTATTTATGAGAGACACAGAAGAGAGAGGCAGAGACATAGGCAGAGGGAAAAGCAGGCTCCATGCAGGGAGCTCAATGCAGGACTCGATCCCGGACCTGGGAATCAAGCCCTGAGCCAAAGGCAGATGCTCAACTGCTGAGCCACCCAGGCATCCCGGAACACTTGTTCTTATCTTTGTAGTGGTTTCTGTTTATAAAAATGTAAATTGTATATCTAATCTTCAGCATTTAAAACTATGGTAAACATTAATAATTATTAGAGTCTGTATTATTCTGCAATGTCCTTTTTTCTTTTTTTTTAAAAGAGAATTTATTCATGAGAGACACATAGAGAGCGGCAGATTCATAGGCAGAGGGAGAAGCAGGCTCCCCATGAGGAGCCCCATGTGGGACTTGATCCTGGACCTGGGATCAGGCGCTGAGCTGAAGGCAGACTTTCAACCACTGAGCCACACGGGGGTCCCTGAAATGTCCTTTTTTCAACCAAGTAAAGGATTTTTTATTTTGTTGTAATGTAATTGCTAGGTGAACAGACATGCATTTTAACCACTTTTTTAAAGTTTTTTTTTAAGATTTTATTTATTTATTTATTCATGAGAGACACTGAAAGAAAGAGGCAGAGACAGAGGCAGAGGGAGAAGCAGTCTCCATGCAGGGAGACTGATGTGGGACTTGATCCTGGGAACAATGGATCACGCCCTGAGCCGAAGGCAGATTCAACCGCTGAGCCACCCAGGCGTTCTTAACCGTTTTTATTTTTTTAAGAGACATTTATTCATGAGAGACAGAGAGGCACAGACACAGGCAGAGGGAGAAGCAGGCTCCATGCAAGGAGCCCGATGTGAGACTCGATCCTGGGTCTCCAAGGTCAGGCCCTGGGCCGAAAGTGGCACTAAACCACTGAGCCACTGGGGCTGCCCCCTTAACCACTTTTTAAATGCAGCTTTGGGCACCTGGGTGGCTCAGTGGTTGAGTATTTGCTTTGGCTCAGATTGTGATCTCAGGAACCTGGGATGAGTCGAGAAACAGGCTCCCCACAGGGAGCCTGCTTCTACCTCTGCCTATGTCTCTGCCTCTCTGTGTGTGTGTCTCTCATGAATAAATAAATACAATCTTTAAAATAAATAAATAAAAGCAGCTTTATTGAGATACAATGGATGTACCATAAGATTCTCCATTTTTTTAAGTAGGCTCCATTCCCAGCTAGAGCCCAACACAGAGCTTGAACTCACAACCTTGAGATCAAGCCCTGAGCTGAGACCAAGAGTTGGATGCTTAACCGACTGAGTGCCCCAGAAGCCCCAAGATTCTCCACATTTAAAGCCATAGTTTGATGACATTTTTAGTAAATTTCACATAGTCATGCAACCATCACCTCAGTGTACTTACCATTTCAATAGATACTGTCCAGTTATGCTTCAGCTTTATTGTACCAGTTGGCACTGTCAACAGCAGGCTCTGGAAACTGCCTGTTTGCCAATATTGACAAGAATGGAAAGATTCCAATCTTTGAAATCTTTGCCAATCTTAAAAAAAGGCAGTCTCATAATTTTATTTTGCATTTCTTTAAGTGTTGGGGAGAGTACAGCAACATTTCTCTTCTTACAGCTATTTCTACAGTAGGAACATTAGAGTTGTTTGTATGTTATGGAAATGTGAGGTTTGTTAGGAAATTTCTCATATGAACGTTTTGCGAATGTTTCCTCCCAAGCTGTCTTTCACTTTGTGCCATTTAATTTTTATATACCAGAATGCATCTATCTTGTCCAGGTGAGATGACTTGCCATTTTCTGAGATACAGAAGATGGGGGATGGGGAGGAGTACAGTTTTTTCAGGGAAGTTCGGGATACATTAAATTTTGTCTATGTTAAGCTAAGATTGAGATACCGATGGGACACCATGTCTGTAACTTGGTGTATTCAGTTCAGGGACAGGAAACAAGAAGGGAGTGTTAACAGAGGAGGTTGAGATGGAGCCTCTCCAGGAAAGAGAGAAAGAGTAAGAGCAGGGGAAGAGCAGAGGGAGAAGCAGGCTCCCTAATGAGCATGTAGCCCGATGTGGGACTCTGTCCCAGAACCCCAGGATCACGACCTGAGCCATAGACAGACAACTGAGTCACCCAGGCGCCTTAGATGATTCCTTAAATATGTTTTACTGGTGGGGCACCTAGGTGGCTCAGAGACCATCTGGATTTTTTTTTTAATCTTTTAAAATGTTTTTTAAAAACCAAAAAAAAAAATAAAGATTTTATTTATTTATTCATGAGAGACCGAGAGAGAGAGAGAGAGAGAGAGAGAGAGAGAGAGAGGCAGAGACATAGGCAGAGGGAGAAACAGGCTCCACACAGGGAACCCGATGCAGGACTTCATCCTGGGACCCTGGGATCATGCCCTGACCCAAAGGCAGACGCTCAACTGCTGAAGCACCCAGGCGTCCCATAAATAAAATCTTTAAAAAAATAAACTATGGACTTGAGGTCAATATACTGTACCAATATTGGTGCAACCAATCAAACGAATGCAAGGTGCTAGTAATAGGGCAAACTAAGGACAGAGAGGTGGAATGTGTGGGACATTTTGGCTCAAGGTTCCTAAACTGCTCTAAAACATAAATAAAAGATATAAGGCTCAGTCATTATTTTATCATCGTCTCACGTCTACGATGTGGTCAGGTGAAATGTATTCACCAATGTTTGTTGTAGTTGTTTAAATCATTTCTGGAACGACGATGATTTAAGCATGTTTCTGCTTTTTAAACCTGTGTTATGTTTGCTATAATGGTTTCTTTATCTCACAGGTGGATGCTCTCTGTGATAGTTGCCATGGCAATGGACCTGCAGAATCCTATGCTAGAATCTCATTTGGCTCTATTACCTCTCTAATGGAAGGTGCTAACTACATTGATCACACAACTTACTTCTCTCTAGATGTCATTTGTAAAGGTATAGTTTACTTTTTAAAAGATTTTATTTATTTATTTATTTATTTATTTATTTATTTATTTAAAGATTTTATTTATTTATTCATGAGAGACACACACAGAGAGAGAGGCAGAGACACAGGCAGAGGGAGAAGCAGGATCCATGCAGGGAACCTGACGTGGGACTTGATTCTGGGTCTCCAGGATCATGCCCTGGGCTGAAGGTGACGCTAAAGTGCTGAGCCACCTTGGGTGCCCAGTTTACTTTTTTTAATTTAAAGCTAGATTTTGCCTATTTTTTTAATTTTATAGATTGGCTTTGCTGATGGTTACAGGCATCATTTCTAGGGTCGAATCTGGAACATGCTATTTGGCAAGAGGATTTTCGGATTAGAACTACTTCTCTACGTGTCCTTGTCTCCAGTAAGAGGCTCTTTGATACTTGAGCTGGACCTTTGCAGTTGAAAATAATGCACCACAGTACATCATGTTCTTAAAAACTCATGCTATCTTTTGTTGATGTTTTATTTACTGGATGCAGCTGCTAGTATTTGTGTAATTTTTCTATTTGTACAGGCACTGAATTTCTAATCTTTTTTTTAAAAATTTATTTATTTATGATAGTCACACACAGAGAGAGAGAGAGGCAGAGACTTAGGCAGAGGGAGAAGCAGGCTCCATGCACCGGGAGCCCGATATGGGATTCGATCCCGGGTCTCCAGGATCTCTCCCTGGGCCAAAGGCAGGCGCCAAACCGCTGCGCCACCCAGGGATCCCCTGAATTTCTAATCTAACAGAAAAACATTATGGATATACAGGGATATTCTTTTTTATTTTAATTTTTCAAAGACTTATTTATTTGAGAAAGAGAGAGAGAGCAAGTCTTGAAGAATGGGAGACAGAGAGTCCTGAAGCAGACTCCCCACTTAGTGCAGAGGCCCATGGGGGGCACTTACTCAGGACCCTGAGTTCATGACATGAGCAGAAACCAAGAGTTGGATGCCCAACCAACAGATCCACCCAGGTGCCACACAGATATACTCTTTAAAAATATATATATTTCATTTTTTTATGATAGTCACAGAGAGAGAAAGAGAGAGGCAGAGACATAGGCAGAGGGAGAAGCAGGCTCCATGCACCGGGAGCCCGATGTGGGATTCGATCCCGGGTCTCCAGGATCGCGCCCTGGGCCAAAGGCAGGCACCAAACCACTGCGCCACCCAGGGATCCCAATATATATATTTCAAAGGGCGCCTGGTGGCTCAGTGGTTGAGCATCTACCTTGGGCTCAGGTCGTGATCCCGGGGTCCTGGGATGGTGTCCTGCAACAGGCTCTCCACAGGGAGTCTGCTTCTCCCTCAGCCTGTGTCTCTCATGAATAAATGAATAAAATCTTTTAAAAACTAATGAAAATAATATTTCAAATGCCTTGGAGATAGCCTTGTACCTTTTTTTAAAATTTTTATTTATTTATGATAGTCACAGAGAGAGAGAGAGAGAGAGAGAGAGAGAGAGAGAGAGGCAGAGATACAGGCAGAGGGAGAAGCAGGCTCCATGCACCGGGAGCCCGATGTGGGATTCGATCCCAGGTCTCCAGGATCGTGCCCTGGGCCAAAGGCAGGCGCCAAACCGCTGCGCCACCCAGGGATCCCGCCTTGTACCTTTCTATTGGTTTGCAAACTGCCCCCACTACGTGGAACCGAGGAGAGACAAAAAAATGAGGCAGGCCACTCCTGATTGGTAAGTGGCCAGTGTAGTAATCAAGGAGACTTACATATGGGTCTTGTCTGGGGGGACCCAAAATGAATTGATCCACCTGCCAGAATCTTAAAAGTTTACACAGATGCCTTAATTGGGCTCAGTCACTGTACACTGTCCAGATGGTCTCAGCCACACCTTACTCTCTAAAGCCTTAGGCCTCCAACTGTTGGAGTGATGGGGGGAACACACATTCCCAGGACAGGGGTGGGGTGAGGAGCCTCAAGCTGGACCCCAGGGTCCAGCTCATAGGTCCACTGGTGATCACACCCTCTTGATGGCCTCCTCCAGCACTTTCTGTATATGTGTGTGTGTGTGTGTACTGTTGTTGAATTATATTTGTAATTATCAGGTCTAACATTTAGTTGTTTTATGCCTAAAGCAATATGTTGTTATTTTGTTTATGCTATTTGAGTTTAGCTCAGTTCACAATAGAGTGCTAGGTATTGGCAAGACAAGATAAATAAGACTTTATTAAACCCTCCCTGTAAAGAGCTCATCGTCTAATTGGGAGAGACAGACATGTGGAGACATTAAAAGAATATAGTGAAAAGAACTCTACTGAGCAGAGAAGTTAAAATGACTATCTGCTATGGGGAGACGGGAAGGCTGCCTGTGTGAGATGCTTTCCCAGCTGGACAACTTCTGCCGGGCTGGCTTTGGAAAGATAACTAGAAGTAAAAATTCTGTACTTGTTTATGCCCTACCAGCTGCTATGTAGCTTGAATATAAAAAGGGGGAACTTAGTTCAGCCACACCAGGCAGCTTTCCATTTAATTTTTCTGGGATTTAAAAGCCAGGACTTGACCTTATTTGATAACCATGGAAGTCCCCAAAGATGATTATCTGGTGGCATCTGGGATTTTAAGACATGTTTAGTTAGAAATACCCAATTCTAGGAGAAAAAGCCCCTGTGATTGTTAAGCTCCCAAGTCAATTTCCTGGTCCCTATAACCATGCCAGTGGGAAGTCACCACCAATGGTAGCCCTTGCTAGAATTCTTCTCAAGATGGGAAACACTTGAGCATGTTTGTAATGCCAAAGGGAGTGATGGAAGGTGCAAGGGAGAGCCGGAAGGATGGATGAAATCAGGGTCCTGAGGCATAAAGAGGCCGGGACCCAAAGCACAGGTGAAGGGATTTACTGCTGCAAAATAAATTGAGTGATTCAAAGAGAGTGGATTAAAATACTTGACCCTGGGATGCCTGGGTGGTGGTTGAGTGGCTGCCTTCGGCTCAGGGCGTGATCCCGGAGTTCCAGGATCAAGTTCCACATTGGGCTCCCTGTGAGGAGCCTGCTTCTCCCTCTGCCTGTGTCTGCCTCTCTCTCTGTGTTTCTCGTGAATAAATAAAATCTTTTTAAAAATTTAAAAAGTAAAAATACTTGAGCCCTAATCAGTCATACTTAGCATTGTCAAAATAGCTGCAGTTAATCTGATTATGACACCTAATGAAAATGGCAAAAGACAATTCCAATTTAAAACATAATGACAACATTTAGCATAACACCCAGTGCTCATCCTGCCAAGTGCCCCCCTCAGTGCCCATCACCCAAAATGTTGGCAAATTGAACTCCAATAAAATTTTTTTAAATAAAAAATAATAAAACATAATGAGAGGTACTCAATGGTTTAAGCATTTTACTGTTGATTTCAGCTCAGGTCGTGATCTCAGGGTCATGAGATTAAGCACTTGTCTGGCTCAGCGCTCAGGGAGGAGTCTTGAGATTCTCTCTCTCTCTCTCTCTCCGCCCCCCCCACTCTCACAGGACCCTCTTCTCTCTCCCTCCCTCCCTCGCTCTCTCTTTCTCAAATAAATAAATAAATAAATAAATAAATCTTTTTTAAAAAAGCCAAAAACATAATGGGAATTGGGGCACCTGAATGGCTCAGTTTGTTAAGCATTCCACTCATGATTTCAGCTCAGATCATGATCTCATGGGTCCTGAGATTAAGCCCCACCACCGGCTCCACCCTCCTTGGGGAATCTGCTTGAGATTCTCTTCCTCTGCCTCTCCCCCGGTCTCTCTGTCTCTCAAATAAATAAATATATTAAAAAAAAATAATGGCCTGTGATGCCCAGCTGATACTTCTCCCCAACAGCCTTTGTTAAACCAGTGGGAATCAAAGCCTAGAGGATTACAAACATCCTTTCTGGCAGGAATACTTACAGGTTACCTGTTTTTAAAAACTCCAAAGGTACTTTTGATGTAATAGAAATTATTTTAGGGTATTAGAACATCAAAGTCACTGAAACTGAACATTACCAAGACTAAGACATAATTCTTTTTTTTGTATATTTTTTAATTGGAGTTCGATTTGCCAACATATAGTATAATACCCAGTGCTCATCCATCAAGTTCCCCCCTCAGTGCCCATCTCTCAGTCACCCCCTCCCCCCGCCCACCTCCCCTTCCACTACCCCTTGTTCATTTCCCAGAGTTAGGAGATAAGACCTAATTCCAACTGGATTTCTCTCTGTGGCTGTTTTAGGGTTTGTTGTTGTTTTTAATTTAAATTTAATTAACATAGAGTGCATTATTAGTTTGAGGGGTAGAATTTAGGGATTCATCAGTGGCATAGAACACCCAGTGCTCATTCTCTCACATGCCCTCCTTCATGCCCATCCTCCGGTGACCTCATCCCCCCAACCCCCTCCCCTCCAGCCACCTTCAGCTTGTTCCCTAGAGTTAGTTAAGTCTCTTACAGTTTGTCTGCTGTTTTAGGTTTCGAGCCTTACCAGGGGGACCGAGTAGAAGTTGAGTTTTGTACCCCATTGGATGCGCTGAGCCGAAAGGCCCTCTCGGTGAAGCCTCTGAGACATAAGCATGTGCATGAGGTAGTTCCTTTGTGGGTAGCTCTTGTTACTCAGTTCTGCTTTTCCCTCTAGTGATCCTTGCTGCTTCTCGGGATTTCATGGGGTGTGTTGGCAAAACCATTCTTGGCCAAAGAGTCTATTTCCTTACTGAACAAGACAAGCTCCAGAGTGGGTGTAACCCCAGAATAATATACAATATGCATATATTTAAGGTCAAAATTAGGTAGTTTACTTGAGAGGTATTTAAATGCCCTGAATAGAAAGCAAATTGTGTTGAGAGAATTGTAGGGGAGGAAGGAATGGTCTAGTGGGAAGAACCAGAGCATGCAGTGAATGCTGGGTGTGCCTTGGGTCCTATGGACTAGAAATGGGTGCAAGAGTCATTCTGCACAAAGGCACAGAGGGTGCTTGGGATGGGACCCAGGAAGTGGGGAGATGACCTTCTCTTAGCCACCACATTCTTTTCTCATTCTGCTGCTTTTCCCTTCCTCAACCGTCACTAGAGAGGTTAATGGACATCATGTGGTATATTTAGAATAGAGTTTCTAATCTAGAGCAGGACCAGCTCTGCAGGGGTTCTGACTTAGCTGTTGTGAGGAGGGGGCCGCCATGGGTAGCTTCAGAGGGTGCTCCTGGGATTTCTGACATGGCAGCTAGGTTGGGAAAGGAGTGACCTTCAGACTAAGCCAGAGCAAGGTGGTGCAGGCTCTAGGACAGCAGACGATGCTTTTACATAAACATTTCTATTACCTTTAATTACAGGTCTGCATTACCAGCCTTCATGGAAGAAATGGGGTGATAGATGATAGCATCTTTTTCACCTTGGAATCCCTGAAGCTACCTGATGGATACACACCTCAAATATCTGACATTGTTAATGCTGTTGTGGTGGAGAGCATTCAGTCCTGCTACATTTGGAGAGCCATTTCTATGACTCTAGTGAAAAGGCAGTAATAAGAAAGCAGCAGTTTTATTCCTTGTGCAGCTTCTCTTCTCTCATCAGTAAAGAGCCTGCTTTAAAATGTGTTCTGTGAAAAATAGCTTGTAAACCTCAACAATTAATTCAAGCACAATGTTTTGAGTTTCATGTGGGTTTGCTAAATGGGAGGGTACCTTTCTGGAGAGAGGCTAGCATTTTTCCTTGTTGATTAAAGACATTTTCATTTTAATCTTTTTAATAATCTTAGGTTTGTGATTTTCTTTTTTATTGGATCTGTTTTTTTAAGATTTTATTTATGTATTTGTTTTAAAAGATTTTATTTATTTCTTCATGAGAGAGACAAAGACAGAGGCAGAGGGAGAAGCAGGCTCCCCATAGGGAGCCTGATGTGGGACTTGATCCCTGGACCCTGGTTTCACACCCTGAGCCTACAGCAGATGCTCAACCGCTGAGCCACCCAGGTGTCCCAATATTTTTTTTAAAGATTTATTTATTCACTAGAGACACAGAGAGGGAGAGGCAGAGACACAGGCAGAGAGAGAAGCAGGCTCCATGCAGGGGGCCTGATATGGGACTCGATTCTGGGACTCCAGGATCATGCCCTGAGCTGAAGGCAGATGCTCAACTGCTGAGCCACCCAGGCGTCCCCCGACAGTTTTTTAATTAAGATTTTATTTTTGGGATGCCTCGGTGGCTTAGCATTGAGTGTCTGCCTTCGGTTCAAAGCGTGATCCCAGGATCTGGGACAGAGTCCCACATCGGGCTCCCTGCATGGAGCCTGCTTCTCCCTCTGCCTATGTCTCTGTCTCTGTCTCTCTCTCTCTCTCTCTCCCTCCCCCTCTCTGTGTGTGTGTCTCATGAATAAATACTTAAAATCTATTTTTAAAAGATTTTATTTTGGGATCCCTGGGTGGCGCAGAGGTTTGGCGCCTGCCTTTGGCCCAGGGCGCGATCCTGGAGACCCGGGATCGAATCCCACGTCGGGCTCCCGGTGCATGGAGCCTGCTTCTCCCTCTGCTTGTGTCTCTGCCTCTCTCTCTCTCTCTCTCTCTCTCTCTGACTATCATAAATAAATTTAAAAAATTAAAAAAAATAAAAGATTTTATTTTTAAGTAATCTCTACAGCCAACATGGGGGATCAAACTCACAACCCTGAGATCAAGAGTCACATGGTCCACCAACTGAGCCACCCAGATGCCCTTCATTTGTTAACTTTTTAAAGCAATCATGTTACATGTTCAGCCAATGCTGGTGAAAAAGATGAAAAGGCACAGTTCTTGTTCTTACCTGGCTTACTTCTCCGAAGCTCTCATCAGCCCATTCCTGGGATCTGAGAGGAAGCTGAAGCAGGAACGCCTCCAACATTTAACTGTCCAGAGAAGGTCCACTCTACCCTAAGACAGTGAGGAGGACACCCAAGAACTCTGTATGTTCCTGGCAAGTATTCCCACCTTTGCCTTACATGTCAGCACTCTCTGCCTCACCACAGTCTATCTTGAGACCTTCACTTCAGTCACAAAAAGCCTGGGAATCCTGGGACCTCACCAGCCCCTGGACCATCATCCTCATGAGACTCTCTATATCCCCTTTTTTTTCTTTTATTTTCTTTTCAAGATTTTATTTATGTATTCAACAGAGAGAAAGAGAGCACAAGCAGTGGGAACAGGGTGAGTAGGAAAGGGTGAAGCAGGCTCCCCACTGAGCAGAGAGCTCGATGTAGGGCTTGGTCCCTGGACCCTGGGATCATGACCTGAGCCAAAAGCAGACACTTAACCAACTGAATCTCTCAGGCACCCCAGGAGTTGAGATGTTTAGAAAATGGAATTAGAAAAGAGGTTATGGGGGCATCTGGGTGCCTCAATCAGTTAAGTGTTTGCCCTTGGTTCAGGTCATGACCCCGGAGTCCTGGGATCCATCTGCACATTGGGCTCTCTGCTCATTTGGAAGCTTGCTTCACCATCTCCTGTTCCCCCTGTCGGTGCGCTCTCTCTCCTCTCTCTTTCTCTGTCCCTGTCTCTCTCTCTATCCCCCCCATCTCTCTGTGTTAAATAAATAAAAAATATATACTTTTTAAGGATTTTATTTTTTCATGAAAGACACAGAGAGAGGCAGAGACACAGGCAGAGGGAGAAGCAGGCTCCATGCAGGAAGCCCAATGTGGGACTCCATCCCAGGACTTCAGGATCATGCCCTGAACTGAAGGCAGAGGCTCAACCGCTGAGCCACTCAGGCATCCTTAAATAAAATATTTTAAAAATACACATCTGAAATTCTGTGACCACTCCCCTGTGTTCTTTTCCACTCTGTTCATAGAAAGACTGAGAAAGTTCTTAATTCCAAAGATGTTTATTAAGGAAAATGTGAAAGAAAGGCCCTTGAAATACAGGTAAGAGTTTCATGGTCAAACAGGGAGGCAAAGCTGATTCCACAATGGGAATATAGTGACTGTATTGGGGGAGTGAATGCATGCATCAAAGTGCTTGTATTTTAACATCAAGGATGGACTCAAATAACAGTTTTAATATTTAAATATGAAAGTTACTTGACATTTGGATTATTACACTCACCTCAGAAATTGTATTAATGAATGAAAGGATGTGAGGAAAGCAACATAAAGAAGCCTACAAATCCCAGCACAAGAGCATTTATAAGTATTCACAGAAAGCAGAAGATCTCACCGCAGGTTGCATGTGTCCCTTTGGTGGTCACACAATACAGCCTGCAAATGCTGTGTATGTGGGGAGAACGCATCTTGTCATGACTCCTTCAAATCAAGTGTATCAACAAACTAAGGATATGCATACATGCTTAATGCAAGTTGCAAGTCTTGGTTTCTTTGCATATTCTGCTCTGTTAAAACCAAATTAAGACTATAAACTCTTATGTGATATCATATTTATTTTTTTATTTTTTATTTAAAAAAAAGATTGGGGATCCCTGGGTGGCTCAGTGGTTTAGCGCCTGCCTTTGGCCCAGGGCGCAATCTTGGAGTCCCGGGATCGAGTCCCACGTTGGGCTCCCGGCATGGAGCCTGCTTCTCCCTCTGCCTGTGTCTCTGCCTCTCTCTCTCTTTCTCTCTCTCTCATGAATAAATAAATAAATAAATAAATAAATAAAATATTAAAAAAAAGATTTATTTATTTATTCATGAGAGACACAGAGAGTGAGAGGCAGAGACGTAGGCAGAGGGAGAAGCAGGCTCCATGCCAGGAGCCCGATGTAGGACTCGATTCTGGGACTCAGGATCATGCCCTGAGCCTAAGGCAGAAACTCAACCACTGAGCTACCCAGGCATCCCTACGATATCATATTTAGCTTATGAATAGTGTCCTCAATTGAAAGATCAGTTGCGTCTATCCCCAAATGTCACAGGTGACATCTGTTTCTGTTGTTTATAAATAGTTTTATTAATTATGAGAACATCTACATAATGTAAAGAAGGTCCATACCATGCCACATTGAGTTTTCACTCTACATAAAATACTTGGTGCGTATATGGATTTGCCTGCACAGATGAACTTGTTGAGGTTTCCATATATTGCTTTACATTTTGATTTCGGCTTGTATTATGTGCAAACTTCATTAGTTATCAACCAGGTGGTAGTAAGCTTTTTTTTTTTTTTTTGGTAGTAAGCTTTTAAAAAAATATTTGTTAGGGATTCAAATGGCACAAGCAGGTACCTTCTGATATTGTTTTATTCAAAGAAAGTTCTCTGCAGCTTTAACCTTGCACAAAGACAGATTCAGAAATGACCGAGTGAACACATGAGTGTCCACTCAAGCTCTAGGCAAACCAGAGAGTACTGAGGATCTCAACATATTTTATAATTGGATTGGACATTATTTTTCTTTCTGTTTATACATATCTATACTATCCATAAGGCCTTGTATGTACCTTGTGATGATTATTTATGAAATGAATAAGGATATTATAATACATAAGAGATAGGGAAAAAAAACTGAGAACTAAGTAAAACCTGTTTCCAATCCCTGATATTGGGAGAGGAAGTCATTCAGAAGGTAGTACAGTATGGAAAACACTCAAAAAGGAAAGCCATGCATGAATTATATCAAATTAATGTTTTCATTTTTAAAAAGATTTTTAAAAAGTATGCTCTGTATCCAACATGGGGCTTGAACTTGCAACCTTGAGATCAAGTCACATACTTGACTAAGCCAGCCACGTGCTCCATAATGTTTACATTTTTTAAAGACTTGTTTTAGAGACAGAGGGGGCAAAGGGGCAGAGGGAGAGAGAATATCCAAGCAGATTCCTGCTGAGCATGGAGCCCACTCAAGCGCTGGATCTCCTGAACCTTGAGATCGGGACCTGAGCCTAAACCAAGAGTTGGATACTTAACTGGCTGGGCTACACAGGTGCTCCACTGTTTACACTTAAATGACTATAGTATTATCTCATCCTGAAGGATGATGTGAAAATAAAAAGGAAATCTCATTTATTTTTTAATTTTTTTAATTTATTCATGACAGAGAGAAAGAGAGGCAGAGGGAGAAGCAGGCTCCATGCAAGGAGCCCGATGTGGGACTTGATCCTGTGATTCCGGGATCATGTTATGAGCAGAGGGCAGACGCTCAACTACTGAGCCACCCAGGCGTCCTGGAAATCTCATTTAAAATGGAGTTTAGACGTCTAGAGAGAGCTCTCAGGCCCTATTACTGGTCAATTGCAGATCCAACAGGAAGAGAGGGACGTTGCACATGGATACTGCTTTACTTTTTTTTAAGATTTTATTTATTTATTCATGAGAATACACAGAGAGGGGAGAGAGGCAGAGACATAGGCAGAGGGAGAGGGAGAAGCAGGCTCCATGCGGGGAACTCAATGCAGGACTCGATCCCAGGTCTCCAGGATCAGGCCCTGGGCTGAAGGCAGTGCTAAACCGCTGAGCCACCCGTGCTGCCCCTGGATACTGCTTTAAAAACAGCAGAAGGAAGGAATTCTTCCTCTTCCCCATGGCAACAGCCCAGCGGTGAGAGACAGCCACAGCTCAGTCAATGAGAGGTCACTATACTCAGAACTCCTGGTTTCCTCTAATAGATTTCTTGTTTGCAACAGCCCTCCCAATCGACCTCTTTCTTCTATAAAGAAACCTTCCTCTCCTTCCTTCTCTGGGCTTGCCTATGGTTTTGC